CAGGCTGGAGTGCAGTGCTGTGATCTTGGCTCACTGCAATCTCTTCCGTCTGGGTTCATGTGATCCTCCTGCTTCAGCTTCCCAAGTAGCTGGGATTACAGGCATGCACCACCAGCACGCCCAGCTAATTTTTGTATTTTTAGTAGAGACAGGGTTTCACCACGTTGGCCAGGATGGTCTCGATATCCTGACCTTGTGATCCACCAACCTTGGCCTCCCAAAGTGCTGGGATTACAGGCGTGAGCCACTGAGCCCGGCCAACAGGTCTGCATTTTAAAAACAATCACAAAATGCTGTCAGCTCAGTAGGCATCATTACTTGGTCAATTTGCTTCTTGAACTACTGCAGTGTTCTAAAGGTGTTAATTCTAACTGGAGACAACATTTCAAAATTTCACTTGCTATGGTGAGCCATAGTTACTGATGGGAGTATATGTTATTGTTTCAGTTGTCTTGGGGTAAAATAAACCCTGAAAAAGGAGGATAAAAGTGCTAGGACATTTGTGATAAATAATACGCACTGATAACTAGTTTGTGATATACTGAAAGGAATTCCTAGTTAAGATCTAGTCAAACTCAGCCTTAAATTAACAAATACACCAATAAAATCTTAAGGGTATCATTAATTAAGGGAAGAAGTGACAGCTATTCTTTTATTTTTTAAATTAATTAATTTATTAATTTAGAGGCAGGGTCTTGCTCTGTCACCCAGACTGGAGGGCAGTGGTGCTATCATAGCTCACTGCAGCCTCAAGCTACTGGGTTCAAGCAATCCTCCTGTCTCAGCCTTCTGAGTAGCTGGGACTATAGGCTCGAGCTACCATGCTTGGCTAATTTTTAAAATTGTTTGCATAGATGGGGTCTTCCTAAGTTTCCTAAGCTGACAAGGTCTCCCTATCTTGCCCAAGTTAGTCTTGAAAGCCTGGCCTCAAGAGACCCTCCTGCCTCAGCCTACCAAAGTGCTGGAGTTACGGTCAGCTATTTTTAATGTGTATCTCAAATACACTGTCAATAAATACAGGCTGAAAATGGCATAAGTCTAAAAAATCTAGACCTCACTTGCCAGCAGCCAATAGTGGTAGGCATTGGAGAACCACGTGCCAAGTATACATTTTCCAGGCACTGAGTACAGAACACCAGACTAAGTGCTGGGAGTAGCGGCGGGGGTAGGCGGGTGGGGGGTGGGTGAAGGAATTAAAAACTCAGCCCCTAACCTTGAAGAATATTTGATGAAACTAGAGAAGAAAGCAAAAATTTTAAATGCCTCTTCCAATGGACTAAAAAGATACGCTTCCAACTTTTAATTATCAAAATTATCATCCTAGAGAAAATGATTCAGTTAAATACCCCTACCACAAGAGTAGAAAACAACTTTTTAATCAGAAATTTCAGCTCAGGAAGCTTCCGAGACTGTGAGTCAGGGTATATCATTAAAATTTTGGCGTACACTGTTCACCACGGGAGAGAAAACACTTCAAAGATGTCACTTAGCACTTAGATAACTGCCCTTTAATGATGCCATGAAAGGAGACTGTTCACCTTATACAAGGAGCATCGTGTTACATCTTTCTTTCTGCAGTGTTCTTTTTCTCAATTCATTTGTTAAGCTATTCTAGTGGCTAAAAGAAGTAAATTTAGTGGGGAGGATGACAGAAATGTTATTAGTTATAACAGTACTAATATTTAGGAACTTAATAGTACTTAATACTATAACATCCCACTAGACAAAGGAGTATCTATTACATCTAATAATCATGAATTTTCACATACTTACATAAACAAATTCATCAAAACTTATTTTCCCATCTTTATTCCTGTCACCATCCAGCATGAGTTTCTGAATAATTTCTCTCACTTTATATCCTGGTAATGGCATATTAGCTTCCTTGAAAAGTTCATGAAGTTCATAGTCACAAATAAATCCGTTGCTGTTGAGATCTTTGTAAAAAAGGAAAACAAGCAAAAGAGGAAAAAAAAATTGAGAGATGCAAATTAATTTATTAAGAGTATTTCCCTTCATTTGAGGCTCAGTTCATAAGCTCACCTAAATAAAATATTTTCTTACTGTGTGGAAATGAGGTTGTTTGAAAGGGAAGTTGACATTTTAATGGAAAAAGCAAGGTTTTACATCATGTATCCTGTGATTTAAGCAATGCCTAAGTAGATTTACTTGATAAGAGCATCCCTAAGTTCAAGAAAGCATAGTTGGTTAATACAATTATTATTAACTTGGAACTAATAGGATTTTTTTTATAGATGAGTTTATTTTAATTTTATTTTCATTTTTTATTTTTCAGAGACAGAGTCTCAGCTGGACTGCAGAAGTGAGATCTCAGTTCACTGCAACCTCCCCTCCTGGGTCCAAGCAATTCTCCTGCCTCAGCCTCCTGAGTAGCTGGGATTTCAGGCACCTGCCATCATGCCGCAGTGCTGAGATTACAGGTGTGAGCCACCCCACCTGGCCAATTTTTTGTGTGTGTTTTTCGTAGAGATGGGGTTTCACCAGGTTGGCCAGGATGGTCTTGAACTCCTGACCTCGTGATCTGCCCACCTCGGCCTCCCAAAGTGCTGGGATTACAGGCGTGAGCCACCGCGCCCGGCCAGGATTTTTAAAAAAAGAATTAATAGATCATAAACCTACAAAACACTTGTATGGTATAGAATAATTTCTACTGTAACTACAGGAGTTTTCTGTTTCTTATTTATTTTATTTATTTATTTTTTATTTTTAAAGATGGGGTTTCACCATGTTGGTCAGGCTGGTCTTGAACTCCCGACCTCAGGTGATCTGCCCACCTTGGCCTCCAAAGTGCTTGGATTACAGGCGTAAGCCACCACGCCTGGCCCGGAGTTTTGTGTTTCTTATTCCTCCATTGCTCTAAAAGAAGTTTTATGAATTTAATGCTGAATCTGTTTCAACGTACACCTGAAATTAAGGAATCACCTTCAGTGCCCATTATTTTAAGTGTTAATGTAAACAAACCTTAATATAAGACAAACATAGTTTATAAAAATCAATGTACTACTGAGGAACGCAGATGTTTAACATGACTCTATAAAAACCTTTTAATTTTTGTACTACTGAAGTTTCTCAGAGTATGTCTCAAAGTGCTGATTAAATGAAGTTTATTCTTAAACTTTTAAAAATAGAAAAAAACACCTGATCAATCACCAAAAGTTAATTGATTTAGAAAACGGCTAATGTCCTGAGGGTTGTAACCACTTGAGTACATTATTTTGTGGATAAAGTTTGATGTTCACAAGTAATTTCAAATATCTTCTGTTCATAATGCCTTTTATTCCTTAGGTCCCACTGATTTTCATATGTAAATTTAATTATACTAGAAGGAAACAACCTGAATAGAGAAATGACTCAAGATGACCTTAGCACTGTTTAAGAAAATGTATTGTGGCCAGGCACTGTGGCTCATGCCTGTAATCCAAGCACTTTGGGAGGCCAAGGAGGGCGGATCACCTGAGGTCACCCCACCTGAGGTCACGACACCAGTTTGGTCAACATGGTAAAACCCCGATTCTAATAAAAATACAAAAAATTAGCTGGTGTGGTGGCAGGCACCTGTAATCTCAGCTACTTAGGAGGCGGAGGAAGGAGAATTGCTTGAACCTAGGAGTCAGAGGTTGCAGTGAGCCAAGATCACACCATTATACTCCAGCCTGCGTGACAAGAGTGAAACTCTATCTCAAAAAAAA